TTTTTATTACACCCCCCCCCATGCTATTTATTTTAAGAAACTGGGTGACAGGACCTATAGATTTTTCTGTATTCTGGGTTTGGCTGATTGTATCTTTCAGGTATCATTTAAATTTTTCATTTGCTCCCCTATGTGTCCTGTAACTGGTAGTCCGAGCTGAGGCTCATTTTCTTCATTTTTTTTTAAGGGTGTAGGATAAGAATGCTTCCTAGGTGGTGCTGTGTGTTTCCCACTGTAGCACATGTGGAAGCATAGACCACCTAGGTGTCCCGCTTTTAGTGATATTAAGATTGATTAATTGGCTCAGTTACTGTCCGCCTAATCCAAGCAATAAAATGTTCCCACATCAACCAACCATTCATCTAGGGCTTTTTTTTTTTTTTTTTTTGTAGCTAGTGACGATTGTTGCAGAAAGCCTTTATATCAGTAGGGTTGGAAAATGGTGACATTCCAATTCTGTCATCTCTTCTGCAATTATTAGCCAGACTTTTTTTTTGTGAGAGGAACTTGCCCTCATTGACTATTTGGCTGTCCTGGAGTATAGTTTATATAGGATATACAGACTGGGTGTATGCTTACTTCTTTTATTTGCCAGTTTTCAGAATAATGAGGCTTTTTTTTTTCATAATTTTTTTATTGTTATGTTAACCACCATACATTACATCATTAGTTTTTGATGCAGTGTTCCATGATTCATGGTTCTTCTCCCCCTCCGACTTACTCCCCTTCATTCTTCCCCTCCTGCTATCTTCTTCTTCTTCTTCTTCTTTTTTTTTCATAATTTTTTTATTGTTATGTTAACCACCATACATTACATCATTAGTTTTTGATGCGGTGTTCCATGATTCATTGTTTGTGCATAACACCCAGTGCTCCACGCAGAATGTGCCCTCTTTAATACCCATCACCAGGCTAACCCATCCCCCCACCCCCTCCCCTCTAGAACCCTCAGTTTGTTTTTCAGAGTCCATCGTCTCTAATGGTTCGTCTCCCCCTCCGACTTACTCCCCTTCATTCTTCCCCTCCTGCTATCTTCTTCTTCTTCTTCTTTTTTTTTCTTAACATATATTGCATTATTTGTTTCAGAAGTACAGATCCGTGATTCATCAGTCTTGTACAATTCACAGTGCTCGCCATAGCACATACCCTCCCCGATGTCTATCACCCAGCCACCCAATCCCTCCCACCCCCACCACTCCAGCAACCCTCAGTTTGTTTCCTGAGATTAAGAATTCCTCATATCAGTGAGGTCATATGATACATGTCTTTCTCTGACTGACTTATTTCACTCAGCGTAACACCCTCCAGTTCCATCCACGTCATTGCAAATGGCAAGATCTCATTCCTTTTGATGGCTGCATAATATTCCATTGTGTATATATACCACATCTTCTTTATCCAGAATAATGAGGCTTTTTAAAAGTATTATGAACTTGTGAATTTATATATTTGATGTTCTTCAATCTATTTGTGGTTTGTATGAATGTATTTATCTTTATGCTGTAATTCCATGTTTGGGAGCCCCTTTAAGTTGGCACTTGTGTCCTTTTGCCATGACTCTGTTCATCTTTGGTAGATTTCTTGCTTGTGATCACAATAAAATGTCCCAGGATCATCTTGAAATTTCTTGCCCAGCCTTGGAATTAGCCATTTTTTCAAGGAGCCCAAGTTCAAAGAGTTTTTCAAGGCAATAGGGTTTCACTTTGGGAAGCTATCAAAGAACAGTACAAGATAGAATGCAGTCACATGAAATGATAGCAGGGTTCTCATAATGTGTTTGGGGCTTTAAGTACTGTAGGAAATACCAGTGATTCCTGAAATATTTGGGTAGTCATTTAGGAAGAGGTAAGACTAGAGCTGGTCCATCAAATAGGAGAAAAATGAAAATTCATGTGCCCATTATAGGGGAGAAATTGTTAGAAAATGTGAAAGAGCATGTGTGGGGGATGGTAAAGGAGCTTGACTAGAACACAGAGTACCTTGACTTTGGTCTTGATGTTGTAAGCACGGGGAATAAGAAGGTTCTTGAGTTTGGAAGTGAAGTTGGAAGTAATGCTTTAGAAAGGTTAATATTGCAGTAAGGCTAAGAGATTTGCAGCATAATCTTTGGAAAATGAAAAACAAAAACCCCTTTTTCAGAACCGTTGAATGCCAGGCTCATTTGCTTTTCACAAGATCCCTGTGTGGTTCAGTTTTGTACAACCCTGTGTAAGGACTATTGGATTCGAATGAAAAACTCAAAGATCAGTTCCACTATTGCAAGTATGGTAGGCATGAGGTAGTGAGGACTAGATTAGGCAGTGGCAGTGGGTTAGGGTAATGGCAATGGGAATGAGAGGAAGGAATTGATAGCGGTATGTATTGTGTTTTAAAAGTTTTGATATGGTATGTCATTAATAATGTTAACACTAATAAAAGGATTCAAAGAGATAAACAAAGATGACTGCAAGATGTATGGTATAGGGTCAGATAGAAATGGGAAGATTGGCAGAGATTGCTAGTTTGGGGGAGAAGATAATGGAGCGTGTTGAGTGTTCAGATGTGGCTGTATATCACAGTGAACTTTGTAGGGGGGGATTGAAGTGTGTTCTATGTGTTGCTTTTTCTGAATGCTTCATTCACTCTTTTGGCAAAGTACTCAGCTAGTGACTATAGGTGATGCTCTGTTGACTGGGAGAGTTAATAACTCTAAGCTTTCATTTGATAAATGTGATTACAATAAATGTTTGATATATTAAACATATATTAAACAAGAACCATCTGTTTAATATTAAATAAAATGGGAAACAGACTGGAAAAACATCACAGCAAATATAAAAAAGATTAATATCAATAAATATTACAATTATTTGAAACAAAACCAAAAAATGTCAGCAAACCAGGCAAAGGACTTGAACAGATAATTCTCACAACTGGGTTATACAGTTAACCCTTGAACAATGTAGGCATTAGGTATTAGGGGGTGCCCGTCCCTCCCCTTCCCCCTTGTAGGGGAAAATCCATATATAACTCGTGACTCCCCAAAATTTCACTGCTAACAGTCCACTGTTGACCAGAAGCCTTACTGATGATATAATGATTTGATTAGCAGACATTTTGTATGGTATATGTGTTATATACTATATTCTTACAAAAAAGAGAAAAGAACATGTTAAGAAAATTATAATGAAGAGAAAATATATTTACAATACTGTACAGTATTTGTCAAAAAAAAATCCACGTGCAAGTGGACCTGTGCATTTCAAGCCCATATTGTTCAATGGTCAGCTGCAATTTATTAATTACTCCTTCAGCAAACATTTATTGAGCTCTTTCATCAGGCACTGGTCTGAGTGGTAGCAAACAAGATCTCTGAGCTTTTGGACGGAGGTGTGAGAGATGGACAATAGCCGTGTTCCAAAAAAACAAGAATTTCAAATAGTGCTATTAGGAAAATAAGGGTAATGAGGTAGAGAGTGGCTTTTGGTTTTTATTTTGTTTTCTTTGATTGATATTTGCCTTTTCTTTTTTTTTTAAAGATTCTATTTATTTTTTGACAGAGAGAGACAACGAGAGAGGGAACGCAAGCAGGGGGAATGGGAGAGGGAGAAGCAGTCTCCTCACTGAGCAAGGAGCCCGATGTGGGACTCGATCCCAGGACTCTGGGATCATGACCTGAGCCGAAGGCAGACACTTAATGACTGAGCCACCCAGGCGTCCCGAAGGTTTTGTT